GTATGAGCTGAAGATGTCGGAGGAATAGATTTTTCCATTTCAAAGAAGCATGGGCACGACATGACGATTATTTGAATGTAGTCACAAAGTTTGGAGAAAACGTATGGGAAATTGAGCACTTTGGGAAAGGTGTGGTATGGGTAAAGCTTCAATTGTTATCTTAGAGTATAGAGCACTTTGAATGCACTTCGAAGGAAATACAGAAAACTAGGGAGCAGTTGGGTGTTTTACTTGCGAGCCCATGTTCGAATGAGGTAATGCAAGATCGAAAAAGACTGATAGCGCATCTTGATTCCCTATTAGCAAAAGATCAGCTTTTTTGGTGTCAAATATCGCGGGCTATATGGTTGAAGGCAGGGGATAGAAACTCCAAGTTTTTTCACCAAAAAGCTACTTTGCACCAAAAGAGGAATGCTTTGACTCTGCTTTTTGACAGAGAGGGCCAGTGGCAAGATTCCCATTAGGGATTCGAAACAACGGTGGTCCAATATTTTTAGCATTTCTTTCAGTCTAGTGGCAACAACGATTTTGAGGAGCTAGGTACTTTGGTAGAGAATCGGGCAACTCCTTAGATGAATGATACCCTTTTAGGTGAGTTCACAGCATACGAAATCAAATATGCATTATTCTAAGAAGTATTGGGATGTAGTGGGGAGTGATGTTGTGGCTGCTGTTCTAGATTTTCTTCAATCTAGACGTCTTCTACTAAAATTAAATTTTACGCATGTCGCTCTTATTCCGAAGGTGAAGGATCACAAAGACATGACTCAACTTCGTCCCATTAGCTTATACAATGTGAACTATAAGATTAGTGCCAAAGTTCTGGCTAACCATTTGACGCTAATTATGAAGGCAGTTATAGATTATCATCAAAGTGCTTTTGTCCCTCAACGCATGATTTCTGATAATTCCATTGTGGTCTTTGAAGTGCTCCACCATATGCATAACCGTACTCAAGGTAAAGTGGGTTTTCAAGCTCTAAAATTGGATATAAGTAAGGCGTATGATAGAGTGGAGTGGGGTTTTCTCGAGACTATTACGCGATGTATGGAGTTTGCTCCATGGTAGATCTAGCTGATCATAGAGTATGTCACTACTATAAAGTACTCATTTCTTCTTAATGGTAATTTTGTTGGTTCTGTTTCTCCACAACGAGGTTTCCATCAAAGGGATCCGTTGTCCCCTTATCTATTTTTATGGTGTGTAGAGGTTTTCTCTGGACTAATTATGCGGGCAGAAAGACAAAGACTATTGCATGGAGTCTCCATATGTCGTGGAGTACTGTTGGTGTCCCATCTTTTTATTTACGTTAGCTACTTATGAGGAGTGCAGGCAACTTCATCATATTTTTCACTTATATGAGTATGCCTTTGGTCAAAAGATAAACTTGCAGAAAAGTAGTATCTCATTCAGCAACAATATGGAGGTGAATAATTAACATGTTTTGGCTTAGGTCCTAGGGGTATAGTGGGTGGAAAAGCATGATAAATATTTGGGGATCCCAACTTTTGTTTGTAGGTCTCGCAAAGTACGTTTCAATCCTCTAAAAGATCGAATATGGAAGAAGATCCAGGGCTGGTGAGAGAAATTACTTAAATTTGCAGGTAAAGAGGTATTCTTAAAGTTGTTGCTTAGGCTATCCCAATTTATATGATGAGTTGCCTCCAAATTTCGCGGTCTCGTTGTGATGAATTCAATCATATAATGGCAGGCTATTGGTGGGGTGTGAATGATGAGAAGAGGAAGATTCATTGGTTGAGTTGGATTAGTTATGCAAGCCGACACGTGAAGATGTATAGGTTTTCGCAACTTGTAGGCTTTTAATATGGCTTTGCTGGCCAAGCAAGCGTGGGGGATTCATTCTCACCCTTATTCTATGCTGACTCATGTACTAAAAGCCAAGTATCACAAGGATTGCTTAATCCTCAACGCAAGGGGGCCTCAGTGTCATCATATATCTGGAAGAGTTTGTGTGATTCCTGGGTGATCTTGACTCGCAACTCCCAGTGGCAGATTGGGAATGGTCGATCGATAAGAGTGTAGGGGATCATTGGGTCCCTCGCCCCCACACTTTCCAAATCTCCTCATCTAGTGTAGTGGGGCGTGAAAATGCTTTAGTTAGTGATCTTATTGACGTAATTACATGAATGGTTCGGTGCTAAGGAGATTGTTACTATCCTCCTAATCCCATTGAGCTTTTAGGGCCCTGAGGATAGACTTATGTGGCACTATGAGAAAAATGGAGACTTTATCGTCTGTAGTGCCTATGAAGTGGCTTGACAGTTTTTCTATGAGGGAGCTAGTGAAGACACGTCCAACCGAGAACTTTTTTATGGGGTCTCAACCAAAGCTTAGGGGCGTCTTTGGCAGGTGTGTGTTCCTCCTAAGATCAAAGTTTTTATTTGGAGGGTGCTTCTCCATATTGTCCTCACCAGGGAGCGATTGATCAGCAATGATGTTGCAGGTGAGTTAGGGGGATGTGTCATGTGGGGAGCATCTATTGAATCTTTACATCATGTACTACTTATATGTCTTTTTACCTCACTGATTTGGCTTAATAGCCATTTGTGCATGAACTGGCATGACCATGACATATGGGACCTCAACAGTTGGCTTGAGAAAATATTGCTGGAAAGGAACATGACCAGCATTGAACTCTTATTTATGCTACTGTCGAGTCTTTGGAACGAAAGAAATACGATTGTGTGGATGGGTAAGCGACGGAGCCCTGGTGAAGTGGTCGATGGAGCTATGCGTCTTCTCAATGATTTTAAATCACAACAGGTTGTCCCCAAGCCTTTGCTTTCTAAGGCTCAAGTGAAGTGGTAACAACCTCCCATTGGCGTTGTTAAGCTCAATGTGGACGGAGCTTTTAACTTACACAATGGTGTTGGCAGTGGGGGAGTTGTGGTTCACGGCTCAGAATGGCAGTTCGTGGTTGCCATAGTGTGCAAATTTACTTTTGTCTCATCCTCGGAGCATGCTGAAGTGCTAGCATTAAGAGAGGCTTTTTGTTTCGCCCATGAAATGGGCAGTGAACCAAAAATAATTGAGGGCGACATGAAGGATATGATCTAGGCAATTCAACATGTGCATGAAGATAGATCGCATTTTAGTTTTTTATTTGCTGACTGTCGAACTTTGCTTTTTCAGTTGAACAATACTTCCATCCAGGTGCATCGTTTAGTTCGTTTAGAGCGTCCACAATAGGTTCCCTAAACCACCTCCTTAGACAAATTTCATGGAGGAATTTGAAAAATACAACTTCAACCATGCTCTCTATCCACCTTCTAAAATAGGGAGACCTCTATGATCTCCTAAATCTAAGGAGAGAAAAAGAATTCCTAGTGGCTCCCTATAATTTAATTTTGCTTTATTTAATGAGTATTTCAAATCTTTAATTAGGCTAACTATTTTTTATATTATTTTTTAATAGAGATGGACCAACTAAAAAAAGTGAAAGCATTTATGACTCCCTAAACTAGAGAGCATGATTGGAGTTTAAATTTTATAAAGAGTTCCTAAAATAACTTTTATATGTTTTTAGCTAAAATATAACTGAAAAATAGAAAGCATGATTGTAGATGCTCTTAGCTATTACCTTATCAGAGTCATCATCATGGTTTCAAGGTCCTCCTGCTATTCTCTATGATCCTCTGATTGAGGAGAATTTGTAGTTCTGGTTTTTCCTATTAATGCCAATCGCTTATTCTAAAAAAAATAAATTAAAAAATATTAATTTTTGGACGTTTCGACATCCAATTGTGTCTTACAAAATCAATGAACACGGTGTTTCAAGAAAGTACTAAAATTTCAATAACTCAATTGAGTGGTCAAATGATATCGGATTCAAGTGATTTTTTATAGAGATAATCTTTGAATGAGTATCTACAAAATAGATGGTTTGGATTAGTGAAATACAATCCATAGTGGCCCTACAAGGGGTGTCCCTCAAATAAGCTTATTTGAGGGATCCCTCAATGGAAGCTCTCTGTGTATATATATATTAGTATTTTTATATTTGAGGTCCCTGCTTAAGTTTCGCACAGGGCCCTCAAAATCTCAATATTGGGTTACCTTGTTTTCATTATTCTGAATCCAATAGAAAAACAAAAAAGTAACTTTTTTTTAAACCGGATACCAAAAGATAGGGTATTTAACAACATCTAGGATATTTTTATTTCTTCTACTTCCGAGTAGAGTTTTTATTTGGTTCTTCTTGAGGGTGTTTTTGCTAGAAGTTTCTTGACGGTATTTTTTTCTTGCTGGAACTTTCCAAGAACCAGAGATCACTTTTTTTTATTTTTAAATCCCAGATATTAAAAAAAACATTTTTTAAAAAAGGACTCAAATAAATTGTTTCTGCACGATCGTTTATTTTCAATAACGTTCCATTTGAAATATTGGATTATGTGGATTTTTGTTTTTTGTTTTTGCTACTGGATTAAGAGGTCTTTAGTCCAGCCAAGACAGCCTGGTAAGTAGTGGTAAAGTTTTCTTTTTCATATCAAATTAAAAAGGAGGAGGGTTCCTACTTAATTTAGGTTTATATATAGGTAGTTTTCTTTTTCATATCAAATTAAAAAAGGAAGAGGTTTACTACTTTATTCAGGTTTTACAAAAAGACTCTGTTCATTGGGAGATTGGATATCATATACGTTTCATAGTTGTATTACTACTCTTTAGGTCAGCAACAGGCTAAGAGATTAGCCAGGGATCCCTCTATTTCTTATAAATTGGCCCTTTGCTTCTAAGCGATTGTAGGCTTTTCGATTCTGAGTCTCAGTAGGATGGATTGTATGGATTGGTTGTGGCTGCTTTCAGATTATTTGAGATCAGTAGTGTTTGGTATTATTATTATTGGTTACTTATTAATAATTCCACCGAGGTTTCTCAGAGTCTGCATTAGAAACAATGTTTCTTATAACACAAGGGACGCGTTGGGTACCGTAGTTGTTATAACGCTTCGAATTATATTTCCATACTTCCGCCTATCAAGAATGTTTCTCTTGATCACCCTCGATTTTCTTCGCCACAAGGTTGCCGTCTTTGCTAGAAGGGTGAGAAATTACGCTACACGAAAACTTGATTTCGAAAAACAAAACAACAGCATCAGCAGGTGGTCTGAACAACTTCCAGAGGATATCATGCAATCAATTCTGCAACGGCTCTCCATATCAGATTACGTACGATGCAAGGCGGTATGCCTTTCTTGGCGAGCCTCTGTTGACATGGCAATTGCCACCAAGCACTGCCCTCCTTCTTCCCAACTTCCATTGCTTATGCTATGCTCTCACCCCTCGTCCATGATAGACCATTGCTTTGTAAGTCTACGTCTTCGCACGAAAACAACTCACAACAAGGCACCACCAAATTATATTCCTGCTATTTACAACATGATGATGAACAGGTTGGGTTATGTTGGTTCAATTGAGGGCTGGTTGATCATGGTTGATAGCGTTTTGTGGCATCCCGAGAGTAACAATTTCATGAAATCATGCTCATTATACTTACATAATCGTAACCGGGGAAGCACTTTCAATATAATCTACTTTTTATTGAATCCGATTACGGGTGCCCGAGTGATGCTCCCATCCTCACAGTCCAGTACTCTCCTTCCATGTGGGTGCAACAATGGACCTTCCTTCCCCATTGTTAAAGTAGTTGCCTCCGCATCACCAACAAGCCAACATTGTTTCGTGGCTAGCCTTTGCTCAACAGGGCATGTAGCTTTCTGCAGTCCTGCAGACAAATCCTGGACACTCATCGATGAAGGGCTCAATTTTTGTGATATAGAAATTATGGGTGGGAAGTTATATGCTGCAACTGATGAGGATGAACCCGAGGTTTTAACGGTGTTTGACATCATCCAAGATGCCGATGGTCATCCTAGCTATAGGGCTCAAAAACTGGTTATGCCGATTCCTTTCATGTTCTACGATATTTGGAGAATGGATGATGGTGCCCTGCATGTCACCGACTTTGAAGAGATGCAGCTAGCAACAGATTCTACATCAAGGGAGTTGTTTATGATTCTTCGTAGGACTAACTTTTCTTTAATGGGTGAAGAAGATGATGAAGATGATGAAGACGAAGAACTTCATTTGTTAGATGGCAGTTACATCAATCCACCTAAGACTAAGGGATTTCGAGTTTTCAAGTTGGAGCATGACATTCATGGTGGTGGTCCTCCTCGATGGGTACAAGTTTTTGACCTAGGTGATCGAATATTGTTTATAAGCGAGACGACCAACATATTTATGCATAGATATAGTGGCTGCATCCTTAATAATGATAAGACACTCGAAAGAAACTGCATCTATTTTGCTTTCGATTATCCTTGTTTATCATCACTGTCGGCTGCCCACGATTTTGGAGTGTTTTCCATGACAAACGGAAGCCTTACACCTCTAAGTTTGTCCAATACTCCTCCTGCTTTACTTCACAGTCGACCCATTTGGTTCACACCAAGTCTTTAGTAACTAGTTTTATCAATTAAATTCATTTTTTCGTTTCTTGTATAAGCCTATGTCAATTGGTTTTCATTTTAATTTTTTTAATTTTAAAATTAAGAAAGATAAAATATGTGGTTGCATTCTATAAAAGTATGACCCATTATCTCGATGATCGATCAACTTTACAAAAAGGTCTAGCAGTTGTAAGGCCCGATTGATATGTCCTTGCTGGGCATTTGGCCCGCATTTAATAAGATTTTTTTTTTTAAAGTGAAATTCATACGATAATAGTGTCCCAAGTTCGTTGACCATGTCCGAGTATCCAAGACTCCAACAAATTGGAGTGTCCGTGCAACATAAATCACAACTGTAACTCATTTTTCCACTATACTTTACTTGGACGGTAAAACCCAACCCAAGTATTCAATCTTTTCATTTTTTACTTAGTTAAATAACAACTACTCTCCATCTTTCTCTCTTCTCATTTTTAACTTGTAGCTAATTTCTATTCAATTGGTGATGTCTTATGAAGTTCGTGCTACTTCTCGTTCAAGGAAGCAAAAAGAAAAAAGAGGAGTTTTGTTTAGGATTCCTTTGGTTTCTTATTTTCTTGAGAGGTTCGTTTGAATTGGTTTAGGGTTTATTATATTAAAGAAAGAGGGAATGAAGATGGACAAGGCAAAGCCACGAAACATGTTGCTTCCATGAAAGAAAGGTATCTCTCTATGTACGTGGCAATGCCATTTGCCATTCAAATATTCAAACTAGGAAACTATAAATACCAAGTAACAACATTGAAAAAGTCATTTCCTCATCGAAATGCTCATACTTGATGAATGTGGTATGTTCTGTTTGCTTAGGTTATATTATAATCTGTGGTTGTTCATAATTAAGAATAAAGTAAGACCTAGGAATTAGTACAAGAAAAGTGGCGTCTAAGGAAAAGGCTTTCGTGGGATTCTGTCTCTTCATTCATATGATATCACCTTGGTTTCACCAAGATTTAGGTTTGACCCGGAAAACCAACCTATAGCATTTGAGTCATCCACACACAATTCTGGTCCATGTAAATAGTGATCCTTCATATTACGTTATGTAAATGGAGGAGGACTTAGTCTAAGTTAACTCAAATCGGAAGCCAAACTCTGTCATATTGGTGGAGTAGTTAGATTTTCATCCTTGGACTACCCGATTTTTAAATTAAACTTAAGAATACTCACAAGCGAGTAGGCAATTGACTTTCCCAAACACGGTAAAGTAATTCTTTGAAGACCAATTCACTGCAAGTCTCTGCAATATTAATAGTGATCCATAAAATACCAAAATTCTGTCCTCAAACAAATTATAATTGGGAATTTGTGACTCTTAATTAGTTCACAATTGCAGAGAATGCCTGGTTTTGAATCACATTGATGACTGTTAGGGTTCATTTTGTTTCCTAGGCATCAGTTTTCTCACTCACTCACATTATTGTTTTACTTTCAGTGTTTTTAAACCTGTAATCCCATGAAATGTTGGCAACTTGGCAATAAGTTAGGTGACACAATCCACTACCTAAAAAGAAAACTTTATTATACAGCCATGTTCAGGAATCTAAGGAGAACAGAGTGTTGTTCATGTCAGTAAGTGGACCATTTTATCAAATTATGTACTTTTACTGTTTTTTTTTTGTGGCAAGTCAACAACAACTACACTTGACTTTTTATATCTTAACAGTAAGTAACTATTGTTCTTTGTTTCATTAGTTGACTGGTAATTGAAACCATATGATATATGACAGCAGTATTTTAATCTTCTAGAATCTATTTGTAGATAAATTACCATGTGGTGATGATGATGATGATGATGATGGATGGTTGAAGAAACAGAAAAGCAAATATGTTCAGCTTTCATTCACCCTATTCATGCAGAAAATATGCCTGCCAGCTTGCATTCCAGAATGGCCCCAAATGTGAGAGTGACTGGGGAAAATGACTTAACCTTGAAATCCTATCTTGTACCAAGAGCACTACATGAAATAAACAGGGACATTTCATTAAAAGAAAAAGTTACTCAACAGAAATTCTCTTTCTGTAACTGTACAACCAAAGATTTCCTCAATCTTTGCAAGTGAAACAACTTGCTTTTCACCTTTAGTTATCCAGCAAAGAAAGAAAAATCTGTAGCAAACACAAAAACCCCTTTCCTTGCGCTATACAGAGATGAGATAATACTTAAAAACTAATGGAATAAAATGCTCAACTTCTATCATGAACAGAGTTTGGGCACAGATCTTGCATGACTGTGGCTTGATACTCTTGATTTTGTAAACGTTGCCATTTGAGTTTGCAATTTCTTGCACAGTTTCTCCAATTCCATTACCCTGCACTGCATGCCTTGCAAATGTGCTCTAAGTTTCACATTGTCAGCTGCGAGATCGAGTTTCCTGGCGTAAAGCACAAGTTGTTCATTGGCATCGAATTTCCTTCCCGCATTTCCAACCTCGGCGGCACTACAAGGGGAGTCAGCGTAGGACTTAGAATTGTTGGTTGCATGGAGTAAGCTTTTAAGCTTCAATTGCTGAGAGACGAGAGCTTGGACTGCTGCTTTTGACGGAAACTTTTTATTCTGAGAAATGTGTATGCAAGTCTGTGCTGAGAGCTTCTCATAGTTCAACACACAACAAATTTTCATCTTTTCCTCTTCTGACAATCCTGCATGCACCTATGACCAAGCAGATTCAATGCATAAACAACCTTATACAAATAATCTTCAAAATCAAAAGAGTCTCAATGTTTTAAGATCTTTTAATAATGTCTTATTTGAATGCACGGATCATAAGCTACTAGATCAAAACTTAACAAGAATAAAGGTAATGAAACAGAGTAGAGTGCAGATCAAACCCACAATATGCTTTCTCATGTACATGGCAAAAATACATGCAATAGATAGCTTAAAAAAAATTCTTTGACAATAAATGCAATACCTCTATATACATGTCCATGGCATGGTAAAGTTCATCATAGGAGTCTCTGGCAGAATCCGGCATGACCATGGCTAAAGCCACAAACTTCGAAGGCTTCAGACAAGGATCTGGGGCTACTTCTGCCATATACAAATCCACCAAGGCAGCAACTCTCCTCAATCGCGTGGGCGATGCTTGACAGATTCCTCCACTCAGAAATGATTTCAATAACCTTAGAACAAGATTGACATCATACAAGTAATTGATCCCGCGTGGGGATGGAACAAGCAAATTGTCTAATATTGCTTGATCAAGCTGTGAACCAATCATGCTCTCCAACTTATTCCTGCTACTTTTGTTTATATTCAAATTCAGAGCAACTCGAAGAATCCCAAATAAACTCTTGCAAGAAACACAGCTCTGATCAAGAATATACAGCATATCAATGACTGTTTCCACAAAGGTGCGCTTGGCATCAGATTTGACAGTGTAAAACTTCGATTTCTGGTAATAAAAGAGGAACCTACTAATGATAACATGATCAAGTTTTCGAGAAATCATGGACTTGACCAGCATTTCAACCAAATTTGGACCTAAAACTAGAAGATCCTCAAACCACCAGGTTGCCCGGGATGAGCTAGTTTTCAAACTCTCAGTGCTTCGAGTGTCACATGAAAACCGAATACCAGAGCTATCTGGGGATGAAGTGGAAGGACAAGGACTCGCTTCGCTTGTCAAAGGCAATCTTGCAACAAGGGTATCCAAGCATTTCTCGAGTAGGCTTAGAGAATTAGCAGCTGGTAGTAAATCTTGGCACTGCTTCAAAGCCATTAAAAGCTCAGACCATGTCCAATATCTGATCTCTTCAAATGACTTCTCTGATTTTTCCAATAAATTATGTGTTCCAGTGACAGAATTGTTCATTTCCATGAACTGTGCAGCACAATATAGGAGGGAAATATTGGAAGGAGTTATGTCGGTGCTGCCATGGTTGTAGCAGAACCTTGAAATGAGCTCAAAACTCTCTGCTCCTCCCGGAAAGTCATGCAATACCACTTTAAGATTTCTTGAGGTAGCTTTTGATTTGCCAAGTAAGTTGCTCAATTTGCCAGAGTAGGAAGCAATAATTTTCTGCAGAAATGATCATGAAAACACAGAGTTAAAGGAGGAAGGGACATTCATCTTTAAAAAAATTAATACTCCTTCGCTCAAAAGAGACAATCATTGTCACTTAAGAGAGCTACTAAAATAATGAAAACAATGTTATGCAAGATTCAGGCTTCTAACTTGCAGGTACTGAAGAAATTTTGTAAAGACAGAACCCCCCCAACAAATTCCAGAATGGAGAGGAGGAACCCACCAAAAGAATGACCTCATTGAATTGGGAAAAAAAATAGATAAATAAAAAGTGGGAATCTACACCAGAACCTGCCAAAGAATGAAGAGAGGTCGTTATAGGCAATAAATTGTGGTAAGGGCAATTCGAAAAAGATGTATGCTGATCAACCCAGCAAAGAAGGGCAGAAAATTGTAATAAGTGCCCATGAAAGTAACCCTTAGTCCATCTCAAAAGGGTTACTTTCATGGGCAGTATTAACGGGAGAGCCCCATAAACACCAGCAATAAATGAGAGAATGAAGCAAAAGAAAAAGGCCTGCAGATCAACGTGCATTTTGTGAATTAAATAGACATAACAGAAGAACAAAAGCTAAGGTAGCCATGAGTCCAGGACCCACATCAATGCAAATTAGGTGTGAATTAAATTGGTGGACGGAAAAGGAAAAATCTTTCTAATTCATCAGTCACGACGGAGGACATGGAAAGCAACCAAAGAAAAATTACCAGAGCATGCACGAAATGTAGAAAGATAATCAGTAAAACTTCACAATTCAAGCACAAGACTCTATTACAATCTGAGAGAGAGAGAGAGAGAGAGAGAGAGAGAGAGAGAGAGAGAGAGAGAGAGAGAGAGAGAGAGACAACCAATTATTGGCAAGCAATAAAGGATCTCAGTCTCTCAGACCTGCCATGATTTAATGAACTGACAATACAGAGAGGAGGATCCAGTTCCAGTACAAGAAGAGTAAACAAAATTAAACAGAAAGAAATGGTGGGATAAGATCACCATTTGGACAGAAGAAAAAGAAATGAGGTTGCTACTACTTGCAAGTACAGAATTACCTTGTCCACTATGAAAGACTCTTCCCCATTGACATCAACTTCAAGATCACAATGAACCTCCATTACCCAAATGATTAAAAAACCAAAAATAAACAAAAACCCACTTCAAATCAAGAGTCCTTTTTTGAGAACTGCAATCAGAAAAGCAAAAGAAGTAATTTTTAACGGTGCAACGAAGACAGAGAGCTGAGGAGGCCAAATGGGGAGTAGAGAGGAGGAAGTAGAGGACACAAATCCATATTCTGAAATGGGAAAGAAGACAAAGGGA